CTCCCTCGATGCCCCTTGATACTCACCACCAACAACAAAAAAACACGCACACGGAAGCGGGTCGCACATAAACTGCGCCACCCCACTCACCCCATCCACCGCCATGCATAACGGACCCATAAACCGATACAGAAGCTCTTCCGCTTCGTGAGAGCAGAAAAAAAAAGCGCATTGCAGTTAAGTGTGGCTCTTTCCCCCCTCTCACCCTCCGCAGAGCACAAGCATGCAAGCGCCAATGCATCCGCCGCGCACACCCCCGCTCCACCCGCCGCCCTTTGCAGGCGCACTCGGCCCGCCTCACCGCCACGTATCCACGCCGGTCTCGACATCGTGGATCTCCTGCCGCACCATGTCGTCCACCAGCTCCTGGAAGCTGCACGTGGCCTTCCAGCCGAGGTCGCGCTCGGCCTTGCTGGCGTCGCCCAGCAGCGTCTCCACCTCCGCGGGGCGGAAGTAGCGCGGGTCCACGCGAATCAGCGGCACCCTCTGCGGGTCCGCCGCGTCGTACGCGACCTCGTCAACCCCGCTGCCGGACCACTCCAACTCGTAGCCAAGCCTCGCAAAGACCACGTTGCAGAACTCCTTCACGCTGTGCTGCTCGCCCGTCGCCAGCACCCAGTCGCCGGGCTTCTCCGCCTGCAGCATCAGCCACATGCCGTACACGTAGTCCTTCGCGTGCCCCCAGTCACGCCGCGCATTCACGTTGCCAAGCAGCAGCTCCTTCTGCAGCCCCTTCCGGATGCGCACCGCGGCCCGCACAATCTTCTTTGTCACGAACGTCGCCCCGCGACGCGGGGACTCGTGGTTGAACAGGATCCCATTGCACGCGAACAGGCCGTACGACTCACGGTAATTCACCGTTACCCAAAAGGCGTAGAGCTTCGCCACGGCGTACGGACTGCGCGGGTAGAAGGGCGTCTTTTCCGTCTGCGGCACCTCCTGCGCATTGCCGTAGAGCTCGCTGGTGCTCGCCTGGTAGAAGCGGCACGTCTCCATCAGGTTGTTGGCGCGGATGGACTCGAGAAGCTTCAGCGTGCCAATGCCGTCGGTCTGCCCCGTGTACTCGGGCGCGTCGAAGGACACCTTCACGTGCGACTGTGCGGCGAGGTTGTACACCTCGTCCGGCCGCAGCCGCGCAATGAGGCGGTGCAGCACCGTCCCGTCCGTCATGTCGCCGTAGTGGAGCGTGAGGTGTTCGTCGCGGTAGATGTGGTCGATTCGGCCCGTGTTGAAGGACGAAGACCGCCGGATGACGCCGTGCACATCGTAGCCCTTCTCGAGGAGCAGCTCCGCAAGGTACGACCCGTCCTGCCCGGTGATGCCGGTGATCATGGCGACACGCCGCTTGGACACGGACGCCATCGCCTCTCCACACACTCACACACGTGCCCTCACGCACCAAGCTTCCCTCACCCCTGCAATTTGCGCACGCGGCACCCTGAGACACATGGGATGCAAAAAAAAAAGCAGAAGGATCCTCCCACCGAGCGCACAGACGAGAACAGCAGCAGCGACAGGCCCCAGCACGCACCCACGCACAATTAGGAGGCGGGC